GCTTTGTCTTGGTGGAGGAAGCTGTGCTCAGCCTGCAGCTAATTGTGCAGCTGTTCCACACTTCTGGTCTGTGGGGTTTCTGCATTTGGCCTCTGCTGCCTGCTCACTTGCCTTGTCTCTGTGCCCAAGTGTTCGAAGAGCTGCAATTCAGGCATCCGGACACGCCAAGTCATCTGCGCTGACGGCGACTCCAAATTCTACAGTCCTGAGACATGCAAAGCCATCCAGCCACAGAAACCAGCCACCGTTGGGGGCTGCACCGTGCAGCCCTGCTCCCTGCCACAGCGTGAGTGGTATTGCTGCACACCTAGCTTTTCCTAAGATGCTTTTGTTTAGGAGTAGAAATTCCCAGCTCTGCACCAGCTTATATTCTCAGCTTCTTGCCTGCCTGTTTCCATCCTGTGTATTTGTTTTGTGCACATAACCATGGCATCTTCAGAGTCGCAGTATCTGTGCTGTTTGAAATGTATGTAACAGGCTTGGGACCGATATTGGGGTTTGTTCATTTTGAATTCAGTATTCTGTGATGGCTCTGTCCCAATGTGTGCTGCAGACTGACCCCAGGACTCCCAGTCAAGAAGCATGGCAACCTGGGCAGGCTCAGTAGCTAAAAACTATAAACAACTCTCATCCCTCTGTGGACCAGCTACAAAGGAGGCACAACTGCTCAGAAGATTTTTGCTTGCTGTCTCTGTCTAGTCTTCATGCCAGAGCTGAAATGCTGACTTCTGTCTGCCTGTCCATTGCAGGTTGCAGTCCTGACAATCCAACTGAATCCAATTGCTGCTCAGCAGCTGTTCCAGAAGAGAAACGTTTTCATCAACTTTAGTCTCCTGTTGATTCCTGGACGCATTTGCAATTATTAGAACATAGGGCTGGTCTAAATGCACTCGTTTTGTGTATGTTTCTCTTTGCAGAGGTCCCCAGTATGCAGGACACTATGGGATACGACGTCACTCGCCAGTCCTTGCTGATGCGTTACAACCCAAACAGCCCTGCCACAGGTTTGGAAGAATTTTGTGGGTTTGGGTTTTTGATGATGGTGGACTTGAAATAGAGTGTGGTAGGGGAAAGGTTCCTCCTTTTCTTCATTTCTCTCTTTTCATGGGCTTCTAGAAATTCATGCAGCCAGGGACAAAGTGTAGATTCTTTTACACCAATAGTGAGCAGTATTTGAATCTGTCTGTGCAGAAGACTGTACAGTATATAGATCCCAGGTTTTGGCAGCATGACTTAAGTGCTGGCTGACAGAAATGCTGCCCAAGGCAGATCATAGGAAGAAGAAAGGATGATGTGAGGGGACCACAGTAATGTGGCAGGTGGTTTCTTGTGGGACAGCAGAAAGAATGGCCAGGGTAGTGAGGACCAGGGCACCTCAGGGCAACCAAATCCAGAAGGGTGGGCCAGGAGACACACATCCAGGTAAAACCCTTATGCAGAAAAGCCTGCCCTGTAGCCTTGGGCAGGTGAAAGAGAGCAGAGATGAGGAAAACTGACAAGATTTTGATGCTTACCTGCATGCTTTAAGGAGTTTTCTCCCCCAGATTCTGGTGATGAAAGGATGCTCTCTGGGAGCTCCATGATCCATAGTACGTCTGGGAATCACCACATCCCATCCACCAAGGACCGTGGCATCAACTTGTTGCCTGTTCGCTGGGAATCCCAGTCACGCTCATCGAGTTCCCATCAGCTCAGCTCCTCTCAGGACCCCACTGCAGGGACTGGCTCTCAGGACTGTCATCGGAGCCCCTATGGCTGCTGTCCGGATGGGCACACTCTGGCTTCAGGCCCCTTGGGGAGAGGTTGCCTCTTCAGCACCTGCCACCAAAACAGGTAGCTGGAAGTAGATAGGCCTGAGCAGGGAGGCATTGCCTTTCCTGGGGGCTTACTGAAATTTACTGCCTGTGCCTGTTGAGCCGGGCATGTCAGGTGTTGCTGCAGCCCTTCTATCTTCTGCCTGTAGGTATGGATGCTGTCCTGATGGAGTATCGGTTGCCCAGGGTCCAAACAACATGGGATGCCCACAATATTACCGTGATATTCAAGTGAGCAGAAATCAGCCCACTGCGGCCGCTCCAACAGTAAGTACAAAACCTCTGCATTTTAGGAGTCCATCAGATACAAAGATTCCAATTTGACCCCGGTGACTTGCATTGTGGGTTTCTGTTGTGCTCCATCTCTGCCAGTAATGCTGGAGAACCAATACTCCAGGCATGGCATCGAGCCCTTTGGCCCACGTTGCTCCTCTTCAGTCTGGGGCATCCACCTGTGATCCTCTGTAAGCAGGGGACAGAGTGGATGGTTGGGAGATGTCTGAGAAGTAGAAGAACAATCAGTGTAGAACTGATTGAATAATCCTGAGTAATCAAATTTCTGTCAGTCAGAAACTTGCCATTCAATTTCTGGGAGAAAAAAATGGGAAAAACGTGGACACTGTTAATTGCCTTTGTTTGTCAACTGCAGATTAATTGAAGGCAAAATAGTCAGGGAGGCAATCCCTCTTGTAGCTTGGGGTGCTTGGTGGGGCCAGCTGAAAACCTGGCCTGCTGCTGGGCTGGTTAGGTCTGTCTTGCAGAGAAGCGCAGCCCTAGCTTCATGGCTGATGGCCAAGTTTCCTCCCCCTTCCCAGCCTCAAAGCCTCTAGGAGGCACACAAATAGTGGTTCCTCTAACAGCTGGCCTTCTGCAGCCGACAGCTTGGACACGGTGCTTTGCATGTGCTACTGTCCTAATGTCTGCATGATAACTTTTTGGCTTTCAATTCCTGTCTCTAAGGCAAGCCAAGCCTTGTCCCAGCAGCACCCCTCGGGCGAGTGCCGCAGTTCCGTATACGGCTGTTGTTTTGACAATGTCGCTTCAGCTTCAGGTCCTCAAGGGGAAGGATGTCTCAATAGGCCCAACTACCGTAAGTGATGCTTTGGCTTCTTGGTTTAGAAACGTAGGAAGAGTCCTACAGAATCCAGTAGCGTATGGAAGCTTCCTGTGTAGAGGCTCTGCTCTCTGTAGAATGTAGTAAATTATCTCTTTGCAAAGAAATTCTGCCTGGTGTCTAGGGCACGGGAAGCTGGGAGGGAGCGTAGAAAAGCAGCCAGATGGTTCAGTTCTGTCAGCTACTACAGAAATTCTTGTTGTCCTCTGCTGATAGTTGGACAGAAGTGTGTTTGTGTGATCTCTGTCAGTCTGTAGAACTTCTGGGGAGCTCTTTGCCCCTGAGAAGACACCCTGATGCAGCCTGGAGTGCTCCAAATTAGTTACCTGGATTTAGGAGAAGTAGGGCCTCTCTGAGGAATCAGGGCTGTGCTCAGCCTTCAGACAGCCCATGGACAGGGGTGGAATGAGAGCTACAGCTAAGGATGGAGGTGTTGCTCAGGGCTGCATGAATGCTTTCAGCCAGCAGAGTTCAATACAGTGCCCGCTGTACTACGAGGGCACTAGAGCTCCTGGGCAAAAGCATCTCTGCTCCTTTAGTTCCCAGCTGTATCCTCTGCAGGCACGTTGCTGCTGCATTGTCTTGTCTTTTTGCCAAAGCACAGATATTGCTTGGTGGCCAGCCCTGTGGGGCTGCCTTAGGGAAAGGGAAAGCTCTCTGGATCCTCTCTGCTCAACCACAGCTTGGCAAAGGACCCCTCAGTCAGAGCCCTGCCCCCAGTGTTTGTCAGCATGTGACTGTGATGATACCTGTGACTCAGGGCACAGGACTCCATTTGTAGATACATTGGGCTGTGCTCCTCTTTATATCAATGTGTGGAGGGGTATTCTGTAATGCATGAGGATTCACAACTGCGTCTAACCTACTTGTTTTGTGGGCTGGAAATGTGCAAATGGCACCCACATCCCCCCTGCAGGAGAGGAAGCCCCAGAGCCAACCTTGCATCTGCACAGTTCCCTGAGGTTGTAAAGCATCCATGTAGCATCTAGATTCAGAAATGTCTCTGAGGTTGGTTCTCCTTCCACCAGTGGAAAAATGGGGGCAGAAAGAAACATGTGAGCAGCTGCCCAATTTCAAAGCAGAGCTGGGTGCAAAACCCAAGTGTCCTATTTTCCCACCTGCCTTCTGCCCACAAGGCCCATCAGATCATTTAAATAGGTGGCTTGAAGCACCTGGACCTTTGTGCTTCATGACCCTCACGTCTCCCTCTGTTCCACTCTTTTTGGTAGCATATCCTGTCATATGCCTGCTGCCCAGTGCCCACGGCCCCTGCATGAACTGGACCACTCGCTGGTACTTTGTGACTGTCGTTGGCAAGTGCAACCGGTTTTGGTACGGCGGCTGCCATGGCAATAAAAACAGCTTTGCTTCGGAGGAGGAGTGCATGAGAGCGTGCCACAACTCTGAGGGGCTCAGTCCTCTGGAGCATCAGCCCTCTTCTGGCACAGGAACCTTGCAACACCAGCACACTGGCTCCCGCTCTCGTACAGGGGATGCTCGGGGTCAGCAGCAGCCACCCCTGAGAGAGTCTGCAAGTCACAGCCAAGAAGGAAGAGCCTATGGGGCTTCACACCCCACACAAGACAGCCGCAGACAGGACAGCTGGAGAAGTGAGGTGCTGCCAGAGTCTTTGCCAAGGACTGGTGTGCTGGAGAGCCAGCGCTGGAGCACCCAGCAAAGCAGAGCAGACAGCCTGAGCCAGCTGCACTTGTGGGAAACAGCAGTGCCTGGCCTCTCAGAGAGGCAGAGTAGCAGTGGCCAGCAGATGCTGCCCCATGAAGGCAAGCAGTGGCATAAGGCTTTCGGAGCAGATGTTTCCATGACGGAGGGATTTGGGCACCAGACAGCTGCAGACCTGTTCCCAACACGGGCTCTGCACAGGTGATGATTTTTTTTTAATTTTTTTTTTCCCCCCTGTTCTGCCAGCTCATTGTGAAGCATCAGTGCAGCTTCCTCTGGAGTGAAAGTGTTGCCCCAGCTGGGACCAGCTAACTGGGAATACCATGCAAAGAATTGGCTATACAAGTGGCCCTTTGGTAAATCAGGCTATTCAGGCCCTGGTGTTATCTGCTATCTCCTTCCTTACACTCTCTCTGTTCCCTGACAGCACTGGAAGAATGCTGTGTGAAAAGACTGCAGGATCCTGGGGTCTTTGAGAGGCATTCTTACACTGTAAATGAGAATCTATAGGTGTTTTTCTTGTTCTGACCAACAATTTAGCTGACTCTCTGCCTTCAGAGCCTTTACCTCAGCACTGCATGGAGCAGCAATGGGTTGTTCTAGGGAAGACTTTTAAGATGCAGTTTGGGTCAGGATCCAGACAGTGTCACCCTGAAAATCAGAAGTGTGTAGAGCTAGATCTAAATGTGTCTGTCTGCTGAGCTGAACCTAGTTCCTTCAGAAGAGAGGGGTTGTAGGACTCTCTCTCTTCCTGGAGGTAATTGTGGCATTCGGTCTGTCCAGAGCAGGCTTTGCCGTGTAGGAGAGGGCTCCCCACATGTTGCCTGGTGCATCTGCTCAGAGCTGAATGGGCAGCTGGTCCTGCTTTGCTCTGTGGTTATGACTCATCCAGAGCCACATTAGAGGACCCAGAGGAGAGGAGGGCAGCAGAAGTGCCAGTGGAATCGCTTTCTCTTTCAGACCCATCCTGGAGGAAGCCAAGCCCTCTCTTGTGACAGCAGTCGTGGGACAAAACATCCAGCTGGTCTGCAAGACGGGCACGTCCCCCTCCTCCAGAGTGGAGTGGATGAAGGATGGCCAACCAGTCTCCTCTAACAGGTGAGCTCAGCTCCCTTCATTGTAGAGCAGATGGGCTCCTTGCTGGGCAGAATGCCAGATATGCTTGCCTGCTTTCTTTGTAATCTTATTGTTAATATTCTTTAAAAAAAAAAAATAACCAAGCCCGTATATTGACCTAAGAGCATGAACTGTCCACCTGGTCTGTGTACAGCAGAAACAGATACAGTCTGCAATAGTATTGAGGCATTGTCTAGTGTTATGAAGCAGAACAGGTGCTGTCCCATAACAAGGAACTGGTGGAAGCTGACATGTGGGTAGTGATACAGAAAAATGTTGTCTTTGTTGGATTCATCTTGGGGCAGTGCTAAGTCAGTAGTCCAGGGTGAAGCTTGTAGCCAAATAACTTGGAGCTTCTCTGGCTGGAAGTTTCTGGCACTCCCTTCTAAGATACAATTTTTTTAAAACTACTTTTAAAGCTTGTTTTTCCTGGGAGGTCTGTTTCCAGCAACAGTTTGGAGCCAGACAGTCACTTTGTGTTATGAAAATCACAGTTAAGAAAAGCCCAGTTATGCTTTTCTGTTTGCAGATGACTGCTGGGGCTCAAGCTCCTGCCTGAAAGGGCAGTTTGCCTCCTCATGGGAGGGGGTTGCTGAAAGCAGTTCCCTGTTTTCCCATCTCAGTTTCCTCTCTGTTCCTGACCTCCTTTCTCCCGCAGTTATTTCCCCTGCCTGTGACCCCTCTGTGGTCAACAGGGTTTTGTTTTTTTCTAAGCTGGGGAGGGCACTACATGGTGATGGTTTATGTAACATCAGCACGAAGAGCTGCTCTGCCTTGGCCAGTTGCTGTCCGTGGCCAGGCAGAGGCAGTTAATCCTTGCTCCTGTTGCAGGCACACCTACCAGTCCGACAGCTCCTTAGTGATCAGCCACGTCAAGCTGGAGGATGCCGGGACTTACACGTGCCTCATTTCTGATGGGAGGACAGAGAGCCGACAGATTCAGTTACAGATCATAGGTGACTTATCTTCCACTTAAGACCAAAGAGGTAGCTCAGGGGTCCTCGTTAATGGTAATTGACAGCAGGAGCAATAAAGCCACCTGCAGGAGCAAACTTGGTCTGCTGCCATGCTGTGCTAGCAACATTGCCTTCACTCCATGGCAGTGGTCTCCCAAGAGCTAGTCAAAACAGTCAGTCTCCTCTGCTGTAAGGGTGCCAAGAGGGAGTGTGGAAGCAGCAGGGCTTCTTTTGGTGCTGCCTCACAATAAAGCCTTAGCCCTAAAGCACTCCCCTGCAGTGCCACCCCGTAACCAGGGTTGTGGCTTGCCTGTAACCTGCCCTGTTTCCAGCGAGCATGTCTTCCTCCCTGAGAGCCATCAGCTGCCTCCTGATCCCAGAAAGGATACTCCAGAAGAGGGGTTTTCTGCAGTTTCCTGGGCTCTCCATCTCACAATATAATGTGACCAGTCTGCCATAGCTGTCTGTGGTGGTGCGTTTGTTTTGTGTATTGCCCAAAGAGGTCCTGCTGGGTAGCAAACAGTTCCCTGTTCTGAAAAACGTGCCTTATTTAAGAAACAAAAAAATATGAAAGACTGGTCTCAAAACATGGGCCAGCAAGGCACCCTGTAGCCTTCAATCTCTGAAGTGTACCTTGTCACAGCAATGGCACATGGGGCAGAAGGTATTGTGGCCTAAGGGATGCTGCAACATGTTCACTGACAGAGGAGAGAAAGGAGTCTAAAATTGCTTGCCTGCAGGTCTGTGACTCTCATTAGTAGACAGCGCAGGCTTACTGCACTAGTCAGCCAGAAAACAGATGGCTGAAGGGCTCTTTGGCTCCAGTTCAGCAAGCTCTCCCAAGCTCATAGAAACCCTATGCAAGAGGTCACAGTAAGAAGTGTCCTTTTACTCACATATGGCATTTTATTTTGAATAGAGTACCAGAGCACTGTTCTGGCAGAGGGTGAGAGAGGTTGGGTCCTTCACAAGGAAAATCAGCAGCATCGAGAGCTATCCAGAGGCAGGAAGGTTGTACAAGCTGCTGGTTCCTCTGTGCATCAGCAGTTCGTATACAGGTAAGTTCACATACAGCAACAGTTTGTCCACCATGCCCAACTGATGAACCATATGGTATCTCTTCATGTAGAAAAGCTGAACATTGGAAAGGTCCTGGCTCAGCTGTTCTAGGGCACGGTTGGGAAGCAAGCAGTACTGAACGGCTGACAACAGGAACGGGAGAAGATCCCAGTCACAAGCTGTCTTCTGTCCTCCCCGAGGGCCTCTTGAAAGTAGCATATTCTGAGCAAAGATGCACAGGGAGGCTGACAGCAAAGGAGCTAGGTTCAAATGAAAGTAGAAATATCAGGGGCAGTATCCTTAGCTGTTCAAGTTGGTGTAGGCAGAAAGAGGAACCTGTTCTGGAAAAAAGCAAAGCAAATAGGAAATGCTTAACTAGCACAAAATTGACATATGTATATATATAAAAAAAACCCCTCCAGTTACTTTAGCCCCCACCCATTTATTTTAAATATTTTGTCAACAAACCAGTCTGACTCAAAACTGTCTCCTCACTGGGTGGCATATTTTGTAGCTTCTTGCATGTTTTATTTGTGCTTCTGGGTTCCACAGAAATGAAAGGGTACAAATTATTTTTGCTTTAAATGCAGCATGTTGGGGCTCCACATTAAATGGGACCATGATCTGATCACTCCTTTCTTTTGAGTTTACAGCCTAAAACCTAGTCAATTTGCTGAACTCCCCAGCAGCCTCCTTAGCTGCTTCTGCCTAAAAGCAGGAAGAAGTGAGTCATTGAATTAAGAGCATTGAATTAAGGCTCTTTGGTTTTGTTTTTTGAATTCAGGTCAGAGAATGGGGGTGGAGGAGATGATGTTTTATTTGACTCTGGGAACGTCATGGTTTAGTTCCCTTCGAAAATGGTATTTAGCTGTAGCTATAAGAGAGCAAAGAGCACGAGGAGGTAGGTGGTGTGAGAGCCTGACCTCAACCTTTCTGCTGCATGAAGTGGATGGCCAGCTCCTGGGCCTTGCATGCAGTGAGGTGATTGCAATGGGCTCTTCACATCCCCCCCAAAAAATCTGTTCATTTTTGTGTGCCAGATAAGCACCTTGGGGGAAGCTTGCTTGATGCCCTGTTCAGGACTTTGTACCATTTGCCACGTGCTCACGTTGTTAACGCTTCCTAGGCTGTTATCCAGAGGGATGCTATCAGAAACAGGGTTGCTGTCTCTAAAGGGTTAAGCTGGCTGGCAGGAGTGCAGCACCAAGCTGTGCTGAACTGGAGCAGGATTTGATGGAGGCTGCTCTTTCCTGAATATTGTGAGTTGAATGTTGGTAGTGGCAAGTATCAGAGCTCTGACGGGAGTGCGGAGACTGCCCTTTCCTGTTGGGAGGCAAAAAATAAGGCTTGTGATTAAAAAAGACCTTGTGCTGAAGGTCAAATGCTGAACAAGGAGGTTTCTGCATCTTTTGCTGTGCTTGTGGACTTTGCAGATTGAGAATGGATAAGAGTGAGCCCTCAGTAGTGGAGGCCAGTGTTGGGGAGAGAGTCAGACTGCCCTGCACAGTGGAAGCATCGCCGTCTCTCACCATTGAGTGGCAGAAAGATGGGCAGCCCCTCTCCTCTCCCAGGTGAGCTCCCAGGTGGGTCCATCATACCCACAGGCAGGCTCATGTGGAGGAGAGCCTCCTCCTTGCCCTGCCTTCCCTGTCTTCTCCCTGAGAGAATGGAGCTGCTGGCTATGCAGCTAGGGCCTGTCCTCCTTTATGTTGGCCAGCTTCTTCCATCAGGGCCAGGCCCTAGCCTCACTCACAGATCAAAGCCTGAACACTGATCCCTCGAGTGAACAGCTCTGATACAGGGTCTGCAAGTGAGCCAAAGCTGAAATTCATTCGTGTACAAGATGAGCAGAAAGAGAAAACATGGCAAGAAAGTTTGCCAAAAAACAGCTGGTCTGTGAGCCAGGGCAGAGGTTCACAGCAAAGAGAGAGATCAGGGTGCCTGCAGTGTACTTTCACAGCTACTGGTGCTGCTCTCCGGCAGCTCCCCCCACCCCTTGCTCCCAGAACCCTGCTCTAGCAGTGAGCTTTTCCAGAGTCTACAGGACTAGTGCTGGGATTTGAGGACCAGGGGTTGCATTGCAGGTTGAACTGAGATGCTACTAAACCTCTGCTCAGTGTTACTACAAAGTTGTGCACGAGGCTCAGCTTCAGCTTGGGTTGCTGGAGTCCATCCTGACCGAAGCACAGGCTGAGGGGCTTTCTGATTTTGTTCCCCAGACACAGGCAGCAGTCAGACGGGGCCCTGGTGATCAGCCGGGTCAGCTCTGAAGACGTTGGCTTCTTTACCTGCATTGCCTCGAATGGACGTGACCAGGACCAGCGCCAGATCCTGTTCCGACCTCTAGGTACTGGGTGGGCGGAGGCATGCCTGGCACGTCTGTACACACACACGTGTGTGCACACAAGCAGGAAACAAGGAGGGCTGGGTGGTGTGGGTTTCTTGTCTGGCTGTGCCTCTTGGCTTCACACCTCATGTTTAACAGGCAGCTTGAGGGCAAGGGAAGAGTGAGTTGGTTTACCCCATGGTAATCGGTGTGTGTCTAGTAGATTGTGGTGCTCCAGGCAGCTGGGAAGAGGGACTAATAGCACCGTAAGAGTGACTCTCAGGGCCTTGTTTCTGGGACACTGGTGTGGAATGGGTATAGGAGCAAGAGGAACTAAGGAGATGGTTCTTCTGTGCATGTGATGTGCTTGTGTCCAGCTGAAGGAAAAAGCTCTTTGAGGCCTCTGCTACTTGCCCTTGCTTGGGCCAAAGCTCTTAGGAAATCTTCATTCCCCATAGCAACAGCGTCATAGATCTAAACATGCTGTTTCAAGGCCTAGGGGCTCAGAGCTCATCATAGCATATGTTGGACTTTTCCCATAAGGGAATGCTCCTACTACCACGGCCAGCATGGCATTGTCTTCCTGCTAGTGATGATTTCCCTTCTGGTCTAGGAGAGCTGAGGATCACTGGTCTTCTGCCAAGCATCACGGTACCTGAGGGAGGGACTGCTCAGCTTCACTGTACAGTGACTGGCAACAATGTGAATATAAGGTGGTCAAGGTGAGCGAAAATGAGACTGAACTTCCCTTTTCTTCTCTTCCTAAACCTCATCACTTACCCTCCAAATAATAATGCAGGATGCCTGCCAGGGAATGGAGAGACCCACGGTTCTCAGCCCCAGCTAGCATCACCTACCCTTTCCTAAACAACTTGGCTGTTACCCCAAAATCCTGGGCAAGATCCCTGTGGGGTGTGGGGGTCACCAAGTTCATGTTCCAGCCAAATGAGGAGGAAAGCAGATATTAAGCTAAGATTTCATGGAGTTCAAAAGGCTCCATGCTGGGAAGCTAGTGAAATTACAATAGCAAAAACTAAAATGAGTGATCAGAGGAAGACCTTTAGTTTCAGTTGGTCTTCATAAAACTCTCTCTGCCTAAACCTAGCAAACGTTTGAGCCCCTACAATAACAGCAACTCTTCTCCCAGCTTCCTGCTGCAATAGTTCTCTCCCTCTATTGTCAAGTGGGAGCAAAGGAGGTTTAAAAGCATTTTAATAAAGGTAAAGGAAAAGCTGTGTCCTCTTCCCTTGATGGTTTACAGGGAAACTGAATTTGTGCAAGTGTTTGGTGGTTTGTTTTTCCCTATTTGAAAATAATCAGTTCTGTTTTGGAGCCTTCTTGCGAAGGATCCAGAGGGATGGATTGGTAGTTGTTTAAATCCCTCTGCTCCAAGGGGTAGGACTGAAGTGGGCCATCTCACAAAGAGAGCTTTTCTTCCATACATAAGTTTGGTAACCAAGTTAACAAAATGATACAAGTTTCAGAGTCTGAATGAAACCCTATTCAGTGAAACAAATTTCATTTCCTTGGTAACTAGGAGTTCATAATTCAGGCAGTTTTCCTGCTGGGCACAGAGTATTCCAGGAGGAACAGAACAGACACAATCTTGCTGGTATTTTAAATGTGTTTTTTTTAAAACAAACTTTTAAGGGAGAGGAAAGAGGGCGCATTTCTCACTACCCCATATGTTCCTCAAGCAATATGTGCTGCTATCAATGCCAGCCAAACAAGCACTGCCAGACCACAACCTGGAGAGAGGGAAAGGCACCCTGGATTTTCTCTTAGTTCCTCAAACCTCAAAAATGTGTAATAGCGGAAAGGGTAATGCCTTTATACAGAGCACACAGCTAGCTACCTCCCACGCAGGCAGCGGGCTAATGGATGCAGACTCACTCATGCTCGTGTTACTATCCAACTGCAGAGCCAGGTTGTGGCAAAAGATTTCTTCTTCCTTCCTGCTGAATTTGTAAAAATTCACACCTTTCACAAAGCATCAGTTCCCAAAGAGCAGAGAGCACTCATTTAGCCCCTGTGGGTGGGAAGAGCGATACAAAATGTTTTTCGCCACAGGAACGGAGTCCCTATGCGGGCAGATGGCCGCCACATCCACCTGTCCCAGGATGGAAGACTGATCATAAGCAACGTTCAAGAGGCCGATGAGGGATCCTACACGTGCAGCGCCTACAGCAGCAGCAACTCCGTCAGTGCCAGCACGGAGGTGAAAGTGCTGAAGAGCAGGCCTAGCAGTGAGTACAACCTAGTCTCCCTGCTTCTCCCGGCACAGTGCCTGCCTCTTGGCCACTACTACAAGTCTGCCCATTGTGTGTGCCTGTCCACCACCAACCTCAGGCTTTGGGGAGCAGCAGGAGCCTCTGGGTTGTGCTAGCCAAGGAGCCCCGCTTTCCCTAGGGGGAAAAGCAGGATGGTGGAAATATCCTCCCCACCAGTGCACGGGGAGCCTAATTAACTTCCTGATGCCTGTCGTGGTTTAAGCCCAGCCGGCAGCAAAGCACCATGATGCTACTCGCTCACTCCTCAACCCCAGTGGGATGGGGAGGAGAAAATATAATGAAAAGCTCATGGGTCAAGACAAGGACAGGGAGTCATCCCTCACCATTTATGGTCACGGGCAAAAAACAGGCTTGACTTGGGGAAAAAACAAAATCAATTTAATTCATTACCAATCAAATCAAAACAGGATAATGAGAAGTAAAACCAAATCTTAAAACACCTTCCCTGCACCCCTCCTTCCTTCCCAGCTCAACTGCACTCCCCATTTTCTCTCCCTCCTCCGCCCCAGCAGCGCAGGGGGACAGGGAATGGGGGTTGGGGTCAGTTCATCACACGTCGTCTCTGCCGCTCCTTCCTCCTCAGGGGCAGGACTCCTCACTCATCCCCTGCTCCACTGTGGGGTCCCTCCCATGGGAGACAGTTCTGCACAAACTTCTCCAACGTGGGTTCTTCCCACGGGCGGCAGCTCTTCAGGAACTGCTCCAGTGTGGGTCCTTTCTGTGGCCTGCAGTGCTTCAGTCACAGGCTGTTCCAGAGTGGGCTTTCCCATGGAGTCATGGCCATCTTTGGGGTCATCCACCTGCTCTGGCATGGGCTCCTCCCCAGGCTGCAGGTGGATATCTGCTCCACTGCGGACCTCCATGGGCTGGGGGGGACAGCCTGCCGCCTCACCGCGGGCTGCAGGGGCATCCCCTCCTCTGGCACACCTCCTCCCCCTCCTTCTTCACTGACCTCAGTGTCTGCACAGGGGTTTCTCTCGCATCCCACTCCTCTCTCCGCTGCAGGTTTCCCTTCTTAAATACGTTATTGCAGAGGCACTACTGCCTTTGCTGATGGGCTCGGCCTTGGCCAGAGGCAGGTCTGACTTGGAGCTGGGGAAGCTTCCAGCACCTTCTCACAGGAGCCACCCCTGTAGCTGCTCCTGCACTACCAAAACACTGCCACACAAACTCAATACAAGGCCAAAATGCCATAGCTGGTTGACCAAATATTTGGCTGCAAGATTCATATTTGGACTCTGGACACTGGCTTTACACAGTGGTCTCTCCTCAGGAGATCAGCCCCAGAAACTACTTCTCCTCCTGTATCTCACCAGAGGTGTCAGTTTCTCTCTGATCCTCAATGTTGGACTAAATCAAAAACAATCCCCTTGGAACTGGCAGGGTGGAGAAAGCAGGAACATGCTGTGTCTTTTGGGAGGGAAACAAAACCTGAGGGTAAGCCCTGGCAGTGTATTTACAGCTCCTTCACCTTTTGCTTGGCTGCAGCTCCTGTGAATCATGTTGTGGACCTGAGCAGAGAGTGCGTGGACCAGCCACACCTCGCCAACTGTGACCTGATCCTGCAGGCCCAGCTCTGCAGTAATGAATACTACTCCAGCTTCTGCTGTGCTAGCTGCTCTCGCTACCGACTGCAGGCCAGCCCTCCTCGTCACCGCGGGTGACAGACACCTCCATGGCCACATGAAAGTACAGGTGACCGATTACAAGACTGGCAGTCTGAACTCTGTCCTTTTACTGCATGAAACTGTTCTGGGAGCTCTGCCCTGCTGGAAAGCTCAAGAGGGTGAATTGAACAGAGTGTAGTGGGCATAACTGTTCAAAGGTGGGAGACCCACCACCCTCAAGTTTATTGCAAACTCCTTTTTTTCCCCTCCCGTATGCCTTGCTGTAGCTAATCCATCTCTTTGCTTAAGGGTAGTCGCTGTCATGCACAGAACAAGATGATATTGGGAATGTAAGGATGCTGTGATTGAGAGGAGGCAGATAACCAGCATGAAAGAGGGAGAGACCAATTCTTCATACAAGCAAGAGAGACAAGTGCTCTTAAAAAAATAGTTTCTGAAGTGTTTGAAGATGGGCCTGAACTGGCTTAACTAAAGCACTAATGAGCAATGAACATTTGTAATCCTGGGGAGCACTTTCCATCTAAATGCAACGACTCTGGCCGTGAGAAACAGTTTGATGCATATAAAATTAGTGTTCAGGTCCTATGAGATTACTGGCTCTAGGGATGCAGCTGTAATGTCATGTTACTGTAGCTGTTTTATTCCAGTAGACTTTAGACAAATTTCTAGTTGGGTCAGTTTGGTTTCTACTTGACTGTAATCAGCTTTGGAATGAAATGCAGAAGCAATGCTTCACAGAAAGCTTAAAGACAAAATAGAATACTACTTGTAGCCCTTCCTGAATGTTAGGGATAATTTAGATGAATATACCAACACTCTTATCTGTTCTGAGATGCTGCACTTTAAATATCACTTGCTCTAGGAAGGCTCAGCAGATTTTTTGTTTTTTTTTTTTTTTTTTTTTTTTTTCCTGAGCTGGAGCTGTCCTGTTGAATTTATTGCAAAGCTGGGCTCAGTGGTAGTGTTGCGCTGAGTTTCAGCTTGGGGAAGCAAATAATATACACATAGAAATACATGTAGGGTCATTTGACTTGCCAGAATAAACTTCCCAATGATCTGCTCTAGTCTCAGTTAAATCCAGGAGAGCCTGGCTCTGTGTGTGGCCTGGGCTGATTCCTGCTGCTATGGGCTAACAAGCGAGGATGTGCAGATGCAGAGCAGCTATAGCTGAAAAGCATCCCTTCATTTCAAGTCTAACACCGAGTGGCAGTGAGTGCATATGAGGCTCTGAAAGAGAAAGTCTCAGGCAGTAAGGGGCAGGGGGGGAGGTGAGATTACATCACGATTTGTTAAACTAGGAAAAGCCCTTGGCTGTCTTCAGTATCTCAAAATGGAATTATTTCTGAGCAAAAGCATTTTTTTTACAGCCTCCAGAATACTGTTTTATCCTAGCATCAGCCCTAATAGTCCCCCTCGTCTTTATTCCAAACTCCCTGCTGAGACTTGGATGGGTTAATCATAGTAATTGGCACTATCACCCATTTATTATTTGCATAGATGTAGCTATAAACTAGTAGACTGGTGTGTAGTGTTGATGTTTTGGTTGGGGGGGGTGGGTGGAGGACTGGCTTTTTTTATTGGTTTTTTTTTTTTCTTCTCCTACTTCTGTTACTTTAAGGCTTCTCAGGCAGGAAGCTAATTCAGGACTGTGCTCACACCATGCTCCTCTCTTTCAGTCCAGACTCAGTACTCAGGGCAGCAGTAATAAATAGGTGTAAATTCCCAGGCTTGACAGCCTAAAGCTGGTTTGGATTCTAAAGCTGGTAAATCAGTTCAGATGCACCTAAAAATAAGGATTGCTAACCTAATGATTGCACTCTCTTCAGCACAGGTATGGTTTCAGGATTGGACATGCTGCTTTGAAGGGAACAAACTGAAAAGTCTAGAAGCAATGCAGTAAAGGAGAGGTGACAGTCATCCAGCTATTTGGGGGTGGGTCTTTCTGTGGTGTCATAGATCCTGCTTGCTAGAAAAGACAAAAATACTTATTTTGCAGTTAAGTCCCTTTAATTTGATTAGGGAAAACTTCCTCTGCTGTAATTTGCGGTAGGCATTACAGTGTAAGATTTGAAGTTGATATCATTGGATATTTAAGAACAATGAGATGGTTCTGAGAACTTCTAATAGTGTTTGTACATAATTTTGCATTTAATAGACCAGCACTTTTTTTTTTTGTGTGTGTGTATAGGATATTTTAGTATATAGTATGGCTTTGCCTTTTGAGACCAGGGACTAATAACAGACTGTAAACCCCAGTCTTAGCAAAGCCCTCTCAGTTCACATGCGGCAGGCATGTGGAGGGTAGTCAAGGTCTGGGGATGTGCTCAGAAGCACAGTTACAAGTTGACTGTGGTTGTATCGGACCCTTTTGTCCTGGTGAGTGTTTATTCTGACCTCCTTCAGCTGCATAACCATGATAGTAAGGATAGTATTGGAAGGCATACCATCACTGTAATAGTTAACTAAAGGGTCTTTTTACACCACTTCGATTTGACAAGCTGAGCTTTTCCTTCTATGTAGTACCACTTAACTGCCTAACTGAATGTCTACTTTTTTAAGAATCAAAATGTTCAATGGATTGCAGGAAGGTTATATCTCTTTTACTGTTACCTCCAGGGCAGGGGAAGGGTGTAGCTATACTAGGCTATTTTCTGCTGAGCTTGGGGCACTATTGTGAAAGATATGGAACTAATAGAATAAGCTATACATGCTTTCTTTCCTATTATAAATGTCTATAAACATGTGCTTGCTTTTTGAAAGCTGAAAAAAGTACTAGTACCAACTCAAATACCATAGGGAGTGTTGGTCATTACTATTTGTATCATACTCAAAACAGGTAAGAATTTGTAAAGAAAAAAGACCCAGTTTTCTAGACCATGTCACTGTGAGACTTGCTGTACTTGCCTGGAAATGGAAACTGCTGGCAAGCTCACCTGCTAGGGCCAAACAAAGGGAGCATTTCTTCCCCTTTGGGTTACAAAGTCTGACTTTTCCTTGTGTCTAAACTGACTTGATACATGTAAGAATGGAGTAAGAAAGAGCCAGTCATACTAACAGGGTAGGTATCAGCACACTGGAAGAACAGAAAAGGAGTGAAAATACACTATCTTCCCATATGGGTTTTAGGATCTTCACTCCTTTTAGTAGTAGGGGAAAGAAAAAAAATCTTTTCCCTTTTTGACCGTCTTTGTCTCTCTGTACAGTATTAGAAAATACAATGATGCAAACCCAAAATCTGATGTTTTCAGTAAAGCCCTCCATTTTAGAGCTTTAAATAGTTATGGGTCACAAGGATATCTGCAAGTTCAGTCTTGCCTCATCTACATTCACCTACTAACACAGAAGATACCTAGAAAGGCAAATGCTGAAAACTGAATGGGGGGTGGGAAATAAAGCTTTCACAGACACTGCTTCTACCACCAACATTTATTTCTGTTAAAGCAGATTATAAATCATCAGTACAAATATATATAACTTACATTTGCTTGTAAGGCCAAAGTTTAAAAGTAAAGTTAAAATGAGATGGTTTTCACAAGTCACCAGAGGCAAAACCTGGACCAGCTGCAGCCTTTACCACAAGGTTTCACAATCAGTGGGAAAAAAAAAAAATCCAACCAAAGTTAAAAACCTCTATGATCTATTGACAGACAAACATAAAATGGTTTCCCAGGTAGCCCTAGGCTGTAGATATGATTACAGTAAGTTGTCACAGTAGTGTTAGAACCAATAGATTAAGACAAAGAAACTGCAGCAATACATAAAAGGAAAAAAACCATACTATATATAATATGTAGCTTGATTCTGATAAAAACCAGTAAATTTTCCCCATGGTTTTCAAACCATGACAATACTGTTCTTTAATTTTCTTTATTTAAAACTACGATATAATGACTTATTGGTTGTGATTGTTGTTGCAATATGCTACTTACAATGAACAGATACAAGAACAAGCTAGAGCCCCTTTTTCCATCCCCCCCAATATTACTTACAATAAGAATCAGAGATAAATCAATCTTATGTACAATTTCTTACATCCAACCCCCTTTTTTTTAACCTTTGGCAAGATTACTTACAACTCATACAGCTTTTAATATCCAACTATTTAAAATATTCTAAATGCATAAAAATAAAGATTTTGGCTTTACTTTATTCTTTACATATAATATTCACTTTGTTACTCAAAATGGAAGCTCAACTTTTTCCACAAACCTAGCTTTTGCTAAGCAGGTGACAATCTCCCACCCATATCCACCCCCCCACCCTACCCCATTTTCCCTGAGGGGGAACGTCCAGGACTCACAGGGCATGAGAAGGACACAAGTAGAAAATCTGCCTTCCTTTCTGTGAGATAATGGATGTTTCTGCAGACGAGGCTTTGGGACTGGGTGCCTTTCTTTGCTCTGTTTGACTTCCAGCTTTCCAAGTGAGGAGGGAATGCAGACTGGGGTGGCTCCAGGATTCCTTTTAAGAACTGCACATTAAATTCTTGTATGTTTATATCCTCCCCATAATTGCTCCCTCTTTCTAACCCATTTTTGTTTGAAGGGACCTTTGGGATTATCAAAGCAAACTGATCAGAAACAGCCCCCTCTGCTCCCTTTATCCCTCTATCCTAATGTACAATTTATCCACCCCCCACAGGACTGCTTAAAGTTCAATCTCAAATGTCTTCTGTAAATCACTTGAGAAGGGGTTAGTTGGAGAGGGATTAGTGCGCTGCTTTGCCTTGCTCTCTAGTGCTGCCCACTGTGCTTCAAACGGGTCTACCTGTGGAGCAGCTGCGGGAGGCTGCGAATGCTTGTCCTCTGCAGCCCGCTTGCCACTGTCAACTCCGTTGAAAGCTGCAGAGCCATTGTGCTGCACAGGTGGATTGAAGAAAGGGCTGGTCGTAGCACTGTTGCTTTCATACTGAGGGAACGTCTGCTGTTTGACAAGACTGGGTGACTGATGCGGATGGGCTGACGGAGCGTGGCCTGCAGTACCAAAGACATTGGCTACCATCTGGGAAGGTGTGATTCCAACCACAGGTACGCTTGGGGCTGCATAGGTCATCCCATTTGCTACAGCATAGGGCTGAGCCGGAATAAATGCCGGCTGCATGGGTGGTACCACACCCACCGGCACAGGCTGAGGCGCAATGAAGGTGCTAACCGGGAAGGCTGGTGCTGACTGGGAAGGTGCTGGAGGAGGCTGTAGTA